TTTCCGAATTTTTTTTAAAAAAGGTACAAATAAGGCCCATTAGATTTGGTAACGTCGTTTTCCTTAACCCTCCACATTTATCGGCATGTATGTACTCTTCCTCTATAATCATCTCAAAAGGCTTCAATTACCGCAGTGTAGTTTCCATTCCGGCCGAAAATCGGATAGAGCCTGTCTTCACCACTGCATTAAAAAAAAAGAAAAAGAAAAAAAAAACCACCCCAAAAATCCCTATTTTGTCCCAAAACATCCCTCCCCTGAAGAAAACCCTTAGTTCTCGCTTTCTCAAATAACATTTTTATGCATCTCTTCCCTCATTTTACTATTGAAATTTCCAATTCTCATAGAACTCATCTCTCCCTAATGGGATGGGATGGGACGGTCTCTCGATGTGGGTTGGTTTGTAGGGTTTAATTGAGGAGGGCAGAAGGTTTTATTGACTGAGACTAGGGCAGCTACGGCTCATAGTGAAAAAAGAGAGAAATTAATGGCGTGATAGATTCACAAATTAGGGGCGGCACTGCAATCTATGCACCGTTATGCCTTTTGTTATGGGCAGTGAAAATTACAACACCACACTGAATTCTCATACGTTGTGGATCCCCATGTACACAGAACGAGAGAGAGAGAGAGAGAGAGATTTGCTTGAATTTTGGTTTAGTGAAACGGTATATGAGCGTCAGTCACTGATTGGTAGATGAAGGTACGTTTCGTTATTTTCATGTCCTCCTCCACTTCCCATGCCCATGTCTTGTCGTCTCGTGGTACAAATACACCATGGGGTGGCAATGAGGCAGGCACCTCAATTGCATGCAATGATTGGGGCCCAACCTATTGTAGCTCCTTCCCTTCAAGGGTCCCCTCAAAAGTTAATTTCATGGCACTTTCTCTCTCTCTAAGGCCATTCTCCTCTCTTTCTCTTTCTCTCTCTCTCTCTAATGGCATTCTCCTCTCTCTCTCTCTCAACATAATGTGAAGAGCACACTGCATTTTGCAGGGTGCAACTACTGTGTTAATGCTGGTGATCTTAACCTTCTACATCTCAATTTGTTTGTTAATACACAGTGCTTCAGGTGATGGCTATTAGAGATTTAAAGTTACTTGACAGAATAGAAAGTGAATATCAAATCAAGAAAAGAATTCTCAACGATATGTGTGCTTCACAAGAATTTAAACTGTACCACCATTAACCTAAATGATCATTGAATTCAGTGTATAGTAAAACATGTCAAGTCCCATCCAGATGTGAAACCTATTTATAAAGCATGGGAGATGGAAAGTAAATGACATTTTACTAGAAATTAGATATGGTATATATCAATCAGGTAACAAGGGATATGGGAAATAAATCGAATGATCCCAAGAATCAAAGAAGCTGTCTTTCAAGTATAATAATTGATGCATAATGTTCCCATCACGTGGGTTTCAACCATCAGATCCATGTGGATGATTTATGCTTATACATACAGTTGGAAGATTTGAGATGCATTTCGGAACCTCCACAGTGTCCAACCTCCTTAACAGTGATAAGACTATAAATGTGGAAACTCATGTCTAGTGCAATAGTCGACAGTTTAGGCAAAAAAACACAGATAAATTTTTTTTCGGTTTTTCTTTTCATGGAGTTGCAACCCCGGATTCTTGTAAGGTATTGCTTCAAAATCCTCATGGAATTCCGTAATTCATTCTTCTGAAATCTCGATTTTCAGTGTTCTCATGCGTTTTGTATTTGCTTATCAAGGGTGGCAATGGGCTGGGCCAGGCCTGGCCCTTGTCCCAAAAGGGTTGGCCTTGGCTGCCCCAGGCCAAAAGAGAAAAAAGAACGAAAAAACAAGAAGGCTAGGCCAAACAGGGCCGGCACTGGCCCTAGCCAGGCTATCGGGCCAGGTTTTTTGGCCCAGGACCTATTTGTTTAGACCTGGCCCATTGCCAGCCCTTTTTCTTGTGATGGGGGAACAAAATTTTTAACTGAAGTTCATTTGATTTAGGAAACTTTCTACGTGGAGTTTTCAGTTACATTGAAGTACAACTATTAATACATGGATACGGTTTCTATACGGGCAAGCACACATATGTAGAAATGTGGGCTTATTTATAAATCTATTTTTGAGATGGATTTTTGTACTTAATTTTTTAGGACATGTAATCTCTAACAAGGAGATCATAAATATGAAAAAATTAGCAAATTTTAAAAACTAAAGATAATAATTCTAGTAAGAAAACATTTAGACTGTTAACTTCTATTGATTTTTGATGGAACACCCACTTGCATCCATCTTTAAGATGGATGCTTTACACTTTTTTGACCGCATATGTAGTAATGCGGTCCAGCCAGCATGAAACAATTTTTCTTAATACATTACTCTACTTTTGCCTAAAATAATTAGCAACTATTAAAAAACTGTGAAAGTTTTGTTAAATAACAAGATTAAGTTTTGTAATGTTGTATTATGTTTCGTTGCATGCCATCTTCTTCATATTTTGCTTAATGTAAATTTTTATGGCGCATTGAAATACCGATTATTTGGATTTGACCACCTTAAACTCAAGGATATTATTATAAAGGTGTGGTTTGTATAAGGTTGCAACTTTAAACAATCAAGGTAAGGTGCACCACCAAATTTTATAATAAGATATAATTTTGATTAAAAAATTCTTAGGATAGCCTAAGAATCTATTTTCATCTCTAATTATAGGAAACTTTAGACTCCGAAAATGGTTCACATCAAGTATATCTATAATTACTAATTTTTTTGGAAATAGACAGTCTGCTCCAAGATGCACTAGTTTGGAATTCAATTTTTGTTTTTTTGTTCTTCATATTCATGCAGCTAGATGTTGAATGATGAAGTTTTTTCAGCTTCAAAACAATCTGTTACAATGGATATTTTAGGTGCACCTCATTCTACATTTTAAGGTTGCAACCTTCTATAAACGTTTTCCTTATTATAATGTTAAGAACTTATGTATGGTTCAACAAAAACTGTTCAATCTTGTTCCAGTTGCGCATCCCAATTGAACTTCTGTTTTAGTCTTAAATGTGTGGATCAGATGGTACAACATGTAGAGTTTACTCCTCTACTTGGGTTTTATTATTAAATACATAGTCACGAGACTTAATTCAATCATGCTTTTAAATGCCAAATAGCTTCTGCAATGAATAGTACAAGTTTTACCTGAATTACATTTGGAACTAATTAGCATAACACTAAAAAAATAATCATATATATTTTTTCAAATAAAATAAGGGACATGATACTGTAGGAGATCTCTTGCAGTTGATTATGTGAGAGGTCCCTTCCTAATTGTTGGAATAGAGATTTAATACATTGTGTATTGGGGGTTAGTCCACAACCCAATAACGACTACCACACTACTAGTTACCTCCATCCATTGAATCTCTGATCCAATGGCTGCGAAGGAAACAGATTCCACATAACCAAATACAAGGGATCTCCTACATGATAATTCCCATAAACCCACAACTGGAAGGTGTGTTTTGAGAATTGGGTGGAACATTTTTTGGAAATGGTGTCCATACAGTCCATATATGTTCATTTTTATATCTATACACTAAAACATGAAAAATATTCTAGGTTTAATGACAGTAAAATGAAAAAATTGATAATCCAACTTATAATTCAAGAGTGGGTTGCGATTAATATTACATCTCACATTACAAATCTAAATTATCTGTGGAGTATTTTCTATTGTGGAATGGGATGAATTAGACATTATTATGGATTTCGCATTGGTTGTTACTATAAAGCAAGCAATTCATACTAGTTGAGTAGGGTTTTATATAAACTAGAAGTATCATATTATGATTTCACCTCCTACTTGTAAATATGTACTTGTCCTTGATAATAAATCCTTAATTGAGTATTTATTTGGAGTTTTCATTCGAAATATGATAGAGTTACTGTTGATGAGTTTATGATAATATCATGCATTTCATGTGAAGGAATAAAGTTTGAATATTTGAAAATTTGGTCTTTCCCTGCAATTTCATATTTTTTCAGTGTAACAGCTGCTAAGATGTTAAGGATTGCGACAATCGCATTCTAAAAGTCCAAATCCTACAGCAGAAATATCCACAAATATGTTCCTTTCAGTTTGGCAATATTCCTGTCCATAAACTCAATTTCAAGCAAATTCTCGATCTTGTTCCATATTTCTTATTTCCAGCATGTCTAGGATTCTGCAATCCTACATTTCTTATTGTGGTTGAGTTTAATTTTCACAATTTTTCCTCTTCTCACAGTTTCTGTTTGATGCAGTCAATTTCTTCTCATTTTCCCCAAATAAATCAAAGCGGCACTATAGATAAAGGAATCAAATGGCATCATAACTTACTAACTTATAGTGAATGAAACTTTCTCATTTGTGTACAATACAATTTCAAAACAATGATAAATCATTATCATTGTGATAACGCTTTCTTTTCCAGAATACTGATTTACTTTTGGAAGTTCTTAATAATTTATTGCTCTCACCATTTTTATGCAGTAAGGATCACAAAATTCTCCCCTATCATTGGTGAATGTAGATTTAACAACCAAAGGTTGTGGCAAACATCTGTGTGCAATTTTGTTGCACCTTTAGTTGTGTTTCATTTTGTTGTATCAGCATTGTTGAATGGTTAGTCATATTTAAGTAGCAATGTACATTTTTTATAGTATACATCAACAGTTTCTTGTAGAATCACGAGAAATCATTATATATGTCAAGAAACATGGAGTACACATTCAAAATATTAAATTAAATAGAAAATTTCTCTGATATAGACCACGAACTTTTGCTGTAGACATGAATATTGTCTTTTTTATACTATTATGTGCTTAAAATCTCATTCTCTCTCTTTCTCTCTCTCTCACACAACAAACATACACAACACAGACACAAAAGCATAACTGAAAATATTGACACCTTAATGGGCAACGGTAAATTAAAGGTAAACTTTAATTTATCTTCACAATTAAGTTGCGAGACATGATCCTACAAGTGGAATATGTTTAAGCTGATAAATGAGTTGATGATACAAACTTGGATGGATGATACATCCCTTTCTCCAGATATTAGCATACCTTAAACAAACAATCCCTTTCTCTTGCACTCGCTAGCCGTCAAAGCTGTATGCATCCAGCACAACAATTACAGGAGGACACCCCAACAAAATGGAAATCACATTTTTTTTTTTTTTAACAAGCAATGAATTCGGGTTTCATTTACATATAAAATTCCAAATATCAAAGGTATAGAAGCATTAAGCATCAAAAACGGCATTAAAGAAGCTGTGGTAATAGTCTTTGGTGTGAGGGCCAAGGCTGTGATCAAAAGCAGACCACGCTTTCGATCCATGTACACATAATCCCCAAATTAATCACTAGATTAGCATTATAATCACGAGTAATTGCGTTGGATTGAGATGGTGAAGAAATCTAGGATCCACAAAATTGGGGGGCGAGAGAGACTTGGAATAGGATTAGCCCACCAGAACTATGCATGAATGGGATTGATTAGGGTTTGGTCACTAGTATTAGCCATGATGAATTATACTGGATCGAGAATGGTATAGAGCAAACTAGGTTTTGAAAATTGTACACGAAGTGCGTTTGTGGGTGTCAGAGAGAGAGTTACCCTCATAGTACTGTAAAAACGATTTCAAGAAACCCTAAATCTCCCTTGAATCTGCATCATCTCACAAGAAAGTGTTGAAGATACGGCAAATGGAATTATTAAGGTATAGAATCCCACAAGTGTGTGTTTTAAAAATTTGCATGTGTGTGTAAGGGAAAGTCAGTCACAGCTGAACCAATTCACCCATTGACACAACACCCCTAACATTGACACAACACCCCTTAATAAGAAGCGCCGTATTGCATTGAGAAAGGTATAGAAATCAGGATTGATGAAGATGAAGCATACTCCATTGAGAAAGCTATTTATCAATCTAGGGTATGGAAAATGTACACAAAGCAAGGAAGAAGAAGAGAGACACTTGCAGACATCCACCCCCATTAGCCATCCATATTGAAGGAGATCATGGCCCTGGCACAGGCCGAGGCCCCTGCACCACCTCCGCTGCTGCCGCAACTGCTGACCATCTTGCCAACACCGTCCTGTCACTGCCACCACCACTTTCACCCTCTGGTGCTTGCGGGCACTCTAAATTCACCCCGAACAGCCTCACCCGCTTTCGCTCCTGCGCCCTAACCACCGGCTCCAATGCTTGCACACCTGCCCTCAAGTATAACATTTGTGGGGACACATATGCTGCCGATGGCCAAAAAACTGGCGGGGGGGCATGGGCTGCCACCACTGGGAGCATCGGTGGAGCCGCTGGTGGCCTCCTAGCGCACGCGATGTAGAGCCGGTCACGTCCATGCGGTCCAGTCCCGCGTAAGAAGGATACAACATCACCAGCATCGAGATGCTTGTCCTTGACAAACCGGCTCCAACCTTTGGTCATGACATAGCTTTGGCTGCTGTTCCAATATGAGTAGCGAAAGCTCCAGGGCTTGCCGGTGGTGTTGTCCTCAAAGGAGAGGAGGAGGCCCTTGTCGCTGGCTGCTTGGCCCAAAGGGAAGTGCTTCTCGGCATGCTGCTTGGGGATCACCAGGCGGTTGAGCTTCCCGACATCACTCGGGGTCACAACTTTGTCAAACATGTGCTCGCGATCAAGTGAGAGGCGGCTTTCATCTTCAAGATCCATGGAAGGGGGTGGGGTGGGGTGGGTTGATCGTCCAATTTGGGTTAGGAAGGTTGGGTTTTTAAAGGGAGGAGATAGATTGAGGATGAGCGAGAATATGGTGAGCGTGACTCTTCGCGGAAGAGGAAATGAAGAGGAAAGCTGGCTAGGAAGAAGGGAGAGGAATAGAGACAGAGGGTTAGGTTTATAATGGACTGGGGTCTTGACTGGACTGTTATGGCTCCAAACCCAAGCCGACTTTGAAGTGAGGACTATTTAGAGACTTTTGCACAAGACCGGTGTCTCTCTCTCTCTCTATCTCTATGGAGGTCTTTGCAGAAAGAAGATGGGTTTCTCTCTCTCTCTCTATCTCTATAGAGGTGTTTGCAGAAGATGGATTCCTTTCTCTCTCTATCTTTATAGAGGTGTTTCCAGAAGATGGATTTCTTTCTCTCTCTATCTTTAGAGAGGTGTTTGCAGAATATGGGTTTCTTTCTCTCTCTATCTCTATGCAAGTGTTTGCAGAAGATGGGTTTCTTTCTCTCTCTATCTCTATAGAGGTTCTAGCCAGGCTTTTGCGTCAGATGGGTCTCTCTCTTTCTCTCTCTAGTCTTTGGAACGCCTTTCCCCAACTGATCCTTTCGAACAAGACTGGTCTTTTCCCCTCTCTCTCTAGAATCCTTCCAGCAATATGAGTTTCTCTTTCTCTCTCTACGCAGTGTGACTCTGCAACGCCATTGACCTTTCTGACTTTGTAATGGGCTAATGGCCCCTGGAAACTTCCTGGGTTGATTCTCAACTCCTCCTTTCGTTGGAAAGGGAAATAGAGAGAGAAGAGGCTTGTACCCAATATGCCTTTTATACGTAGGCCCCCTTGACTCATGCTCATGTGAGCCTGTCCTACTTCTAGAGAGAGAGAGAGAGAGAGAGAGAGAGGGGTCATTTCTTTCTGGTATTTATATCACCAGAGCCCCTTCATTATAAACCAGTTGCTCGGGTTGTTCGGCTGGTTTATTTATGGTCCAGTTATATCAGATTTATCCAGGGTTTTGACTTTGGTAGAGAGAGAAAGTGTGAAACAGTGGAGAGTTAGAGAGAGAAAGAGAGAAGAGAGATGGGCCTGGATATCCAGGGCCCCTGGTCCGCCATAAGATCCTTGTGGGGTGCACCGAAGCTTAGGGGAAAAAAATTGTACATATAAAGGATAGTTGTGATGTAATGCTCAGATAAGCTATGGCAAAGATGCGACGTGTGATACAACTCTCAAAAACCAGAAACGAAGCCATCTGCATTTTAAGATTCGAACCGTCTTTCCCTCTCTCCTGGTCCCTCACACTCTCTCTCTCTCTCTACCCATTAAAAACAAACCTAGTCCTTATCCTACTTCACTCTTTCTCTCTCTAAGACTTTTCTCTCTCTACTGTTGCTCAAACCTATTCCTTATCCTTTCTCTCTCTTGAACTCTCTCTCTCTCATTAATCTATTCACTAATACAGAGGAATCGAGTGTTTAGAGAGAGAAACCGAAGCACCCACTGCACTGATTTGGAACAAGCATATATCGTCACCCGTAAAACCAGGCCTGACGTCTGCTAACTTCACAGTTAATCTTTAATTCCATAGCGGGAAAAGAGGCTAATGATTTTATAAGCTCTTAATTTACATCTTAAATTGCAGAGAGAGAAGGGTTTAGAGGCTCATGCGGTCTTCAATCTATATTATAATTGTAGAGAGAGAAAGTAAGGCTCGTGTTACCAGAATTAGACCCAGAGTTCTTAATGGTTTTGAATATGATGATAAGCCCAGAATCTAGCAAATATTGTAAACCACAAAAATGTTAGCCCCCACTTTCTCTCTCTAAAACCAAAACCTGGTTTTCTTTTCTCAAAAATATTGTAATCCAAGTTGCACCACAAAAATGTTAGCCCCCCCCCACTTTCTCTCTCTAAAACCAAAACCTGGTGTTCTTTCCTTTGAGAAACCCTAACCCGCTTGCACGTACACATAGATGCTCAAAAGACTTGAGCTTCCATCCATAGATATAAGGATATTATAAGCCCACTATTTACTTTTATTATTGTAGAATAAGTGTAACATTTAGTATTGAAAAATTGTTTCATGCGGGGTGGACCGTATTTCTACAACATACAGTGATAAGTGATAAGGTGGTCCACCTAAAAACAGTTGTAACGAACAGTCCAAATATTTTGTTAATATAATTATTATTGTTAGTTTTCAATTTTCATAATCTCCATATTAAAGATTATATATTCTCTAAAAAATTATGATCAAATTACATTTAAAAAATATATTTATTGCCAAGCTCCCATTTCTACACTACACAAGCTCTTTACTATTCCCTCTCTTTTGCCACCTCTTTCTCTCTCATCTTTTTTACATGCTTTAAATTCTAACATGAAAACAGCCGCAAGTGTTTGAGGGGAGAGGGGGTCCATTAAGATAAAGGCAGAGGCTGGGACCTTTTTCTCTTGTGTATTGAGATGAGGGTGCACAAGAGGCTCTGCATTATTTCGCCTGCAACTCATAGCCCCAGGACCACTCTCTCTTTCTCTCTCTAAAATAACAAAAAAAATAGGGGTAGCGCTTACAGTTGGTGGAAGCAAGGCATCCATCCATCCATCGTCCTCCTCATAATTCCTTGTATAATTCGTTCCCTTGGCTTTTCTGTTCTCCTCCTGACACTCCATCCCACAAGCCAACGAGGCCCAACCTGACAAAAATAAAATACCCTCTATTCTTATTCTACATTTTTCTTCCTCGTTATTTATTCAGTTTCTCACAAGATGAAAATAAAAAAAAAAAATTAAAAGAACTCCCAATTTTACGTTATTTCTCATTTTTAACCAAAAACCACAGAGAGTAAATATTTTTTTATTGATAAAAAATTATCCCCTCTCTCTTTTGTTCATAAATCTTACATCATTCCATATCTTTCATGCCACCCAAACCTTCTTTTATGGCTTGCCTGAGAGAAAAAAAGCAAATTGCGTTTTTCCCTTTCTTGGGTAGTTCCCTATGGGGAAAAAAAAATTCACATGAAGTTATAGGGCATTCTAACCAGTGCTTTAAAACCACGATTTGGGATGGAACTCGGGTCAAATTATGAGTTACACGGCTCAGGTCAGGCAGGATCCCGGCCAAAAAGTATTAAAAAAACTAAAATACAAAAAGGTCTATATTTAAAGTAAAATTAAACAAAACACATCTAAATAAAATAAAAAAAATAGTAAAAGGAAGAATTTGAACGATCTATTTTTGACCAGGGTATTTTAGAAATAATCTAAAAATATAAAAAATGTAAAAATAAGTATTCATGCCCAAAACACTATCCAATGTTTGCAAAAATGATAGAAAACATAAAGAAATATAGTAAAATATAGAAAACATAAAGAAATATCGTAAAATAATTTTCTTATATTAAGATTCTTTATAATTTTTTTAATATCCCGGGGGCTTGACTACCAAACTCAAGATACTCATGTGAATCCGGGTTGGCTCGCCCGAGAAGTCGAAAATTGATTCTAACAAAACCTCTTCTTTCATAATTACAAATTAGTCAATTATAATCTCTCCTATGATACATAAAGCACATAAGTAAGAAACAATAATAGCCTATAAGATATCCTCAATTTTCCCAATTTTCATGGCTTCCATATTTATAAGTACATTTTCTTTGCAACAATCTCTTTGAAAAGCAAATCCCAACAATGACCCCACCAGAGAAAAATCTAAAATGTCGCCTCATTCACCTCTCTCCTCATGCAAGCCCTAATTTTTCCAATTTCCTTCCCGATTTACCGCCAACAAGTACTTGGATCCTTCGGGTTAGGGCTCCCGACCTTTTAGCCCTACAAGAAAACCCCTACGCTCACCTTTTCTGCTCGGGAATTGAAGGTTCTGGGCACCAAGGGGGGGGGACCCCTCAACTACTCTCTCTCTAAAATCGTACGGTCAGGGGAGAGATTAGGTGCCCGTGCAGGCCCCCTCCCTGCCAAACCGTTGGAGTTTCGAACAATATACGCCCCACAATGAGCAACAATCAATTTTAGAGAGAGAAAGAGAGGAGAGAGAGAGTGTGTGTGTGTGTGTTTGCCGGCTGTCACGCGCTGCACAGCGGGCAGGGCCCCGCTTCCTTGTTGATATTTTTCGACGAGGAAAGGAATAATGAGGTTACGTCACAGGAGTCTTTGCCGTGACGTACGCTTTTATTTGAGGTTTTGTCATGGGATTTTAAGCTTTGGCATCTGTAGTGCTGCCGCGAGAGCATGCTGTACTCTTAACTATCACTAGATTCACTGCTGAAGGAGCTGTATTGGACTTTTTCCTCAATGCTATTTACTTCAACCTAAAATATATAGATGTTATTTTGTACTTTAGGTTTAAAAAAATTGTGATTTGGCTATGTGGAAATAAATTTTGTACATCTCTAAATTTTATTGGAGAGTTGAGTGAGTCTGTAAAAAAAAAACAAAAAAAAAACTAGGAGATCGAAATTTGCCCCATTACGCAACTCATTTTTTTAATGACCGATTTAGACACCAGAGTATCAGTTCAATGTATATCGCTCCAGTCGATGACCTATCTCGCCTCAAGCTACCTAGCCTCCGATCCTGGTTATAATTCACTATTTTAAACAAAATCAAACTTAAGATTTCGAGGTTCAACCACATTGAGCAGATTGTCAAACCGATCTTGTCTCAAGCGAACTGGCCTCCTGAAACTGGTTTTAAATTACTATTTTAAAAAAATAAAAGAAAAATAGATTTCGAGTTTCAACCACGTTGAGTGGATTTCGATGGCCAAGCTGCATCCAAATGCCGTTTATAATCAAGCATGAAAGCACGTTCTAATTTTGTAACTTCTTTTGTTGAAAAGGGCATTATACTATGTTCATAATTTACTTCTACTCCCTCCATCACACACTTACTTGGAAGGATTTTTTCAATTTGAAATTTGGGAATACTTAAGAATTACTAGAAAATATTCTCAAAAGAAGGACCTAAAATTTGAATTTTTTTAGAGATCTTAACATCTAAAACATTGGATGGTCTCTACTCAATTTGGCGACATTTTTTTTTTTTTCAAGTATATAGAGGTTACAATTAGGAAATTTTTTAATTGAGATTAATTTATGATTTTAAGAGGCTCTATCCCAAAAATTTAAGATCCTAAAATTAATTATAAGTGGGGTTTTACCCGAAAGAGTAAATGGACATCCAACTCCCCAGGGAGTAGAGTATAAATTGATGGATCACCCGGTTGATATTACCGCGAGGGAGTGAAGGAAATGCTCGCGCGGGAGCATTAAATAATTCGACTCAATTTTATTACGGTTAACGACTGCGGGTTATTTTATGCCAGGCAGAGAGACCACCACGTTGGCTAAGATTTTAGTCATCTTTTAACTGGTGATAAAAGAAAGTAATAATAGGGAAAAAATCAACCATGATGAGCATACAGTTGTATCCTATTTATACAAAGGGTGCGGTTTATATAGCCCTAATACTTAATTTGGGATGGGCTACCTGGGCGACGTATGATCCACCTAACACCATAATAGGGGCCAGATCACAACTTGGGCATTGCCACACCAGACATATTAGCGAGTAGGGCTCGCAACGAACCGGACCTTGGTTGGGCTCGGGCAGCCTTGGCCCTGAGCTTGGACAAGGGTCCATGGCTGGCCCTAGTCTGCGCCGGTCCAGACCTGGCCCAAGAGGGCCTCGCCCTGTCCATGTTGGGCAGGGCCTACTAAAAACAAAAATAAGCAGAAAGAAAAGTTATAAAACAGTGGAAAGCATAGGGCTGGGCTGGGCCAAGTAAGCAATTTCAGGGCCCTAGCCTTGGCTTGGCCCAATGTGGGGCAGGCTTTTCAGGGCCAAGGGACGGTCTGCTTGACTAATTGCCAGTTCTAATTTAGCAGTGGAAATCGCTATCGAATGCATTTGG